AAAAAACAAATATAGTTTAAATTTTTTGTATGAGAAGTAAAAATAATAATATAAATATATTATATATACCTGATGATGTCTTTACAGGAACAGACGGTTTATTGTTTTTGTTAAAACAAAAATTAAAAACTGTTGTTAAATATTTAATTGCAACTTCATTTTGAATTTATAAATATATATATATATATATATATATTCATATACAAGTATCGGTTGGTTTTTTCCATGTATCAAATTATTAAAATATTGTTTGCGACGATGTAAATATAATCATCTAAAAAAGATAAAATGAAATGTTACAAAACAATTTCAATATTTTTTTTTTTTGGTGTCTTATGAATGATTTTCGTAAAAACCAATTGAAAAAATTTATAAATTATATTTTTTTATGTTATAATTTAATTGAATATATATATATATATATATATATATATATATATATATATATATATATATATATAGGTTATTCATAAAAGAACAAAATCTACCAACTCTCAGAAAATTAAAAAATAAAAAATGCAATGGAATATTATACAGGTTTTTTTTATTTATATTAATTATATTCTCTTTCAAAAAATTTAAAATATTTGTTTTTTATAGATTCATGAATTTATAAATTAAATGTTATATAAAATAAATAATATATATTTTATATTTTATATTTAAATATATTTAATCAAAGAAAATCAAAATTGGAAATTTTTTACAAAATTAACAAATATGTATTATAATGTTTCAAAATAAATAACTTTTATTTTTATTTAAATATATTTAATATGAAAATGTTTGAAAAATCTCAAGCATCATCGCTTTTCTTTAAGAAAATTTGGAATTTAATTCAATCATCGCTAGTGAATGCCGAGTGTTACAAGGACAGTGCAACTTCCGTTCTCAAACGTCTCACATATCAAACAAATCGGTTTTCGAACAGAATATTCGAGATAAAAATACCTCGGTTATCGAACAAAATTTCGGTTCTCGAACAACATTGTCGAACGGAGTTAACCCGAACGGAGTAATTTCTGAGTCGACCGCCATTTTGTATACATTCGTCTGTTGTGGCGTGCTTTTCTTTTCCAATTTTATTGTACTGTGACTTTTTTTTTCTCTACATTGATACCTTTTTAAAAAAATTGTTTCGGTTTACGAACATTGCGGGATACGAACGGCCTTCAGGAACGAATTAAGTTCGTGAACCGAGGTTCCACTGTATTTTTGAGAGTTTATATCCATTTTTTTTTTAATTCATCACAAACTTTTTCCTTCCTTTCTGCAATGCCCAATACACTTTCTCACAGACGCGACGTCGCCTCTCTCTGTCTGTTTTACAAATACTTTCATGGCAATTGCTCCGATGAGCTGCATTCGCTGGTTCCCAGACTTCATGAGTTCAAGCGCCCTACGAGGCTGGCATCCCGCTCTCACCGTTTCACTGTCGAAACTATTAAATGTAGCCGTTTCTTCTACTCCAATAGCTTCATATCTCGCACCTCTCGCCTGTGGAACTCCCTTCCCTATTCCAGTTTCTCTGAGAGCTATAATCTCCAGCTATTCAAATGTAATGTCAGTCGACATCTCCAGTTTCCTTGATTTATCCACTACCCTCCTCCTCATCCTTTCTTCTATCACTCCTATCTGATCTTGTTCCAAATTTTCTGTAACACCTTGGGTCCTAGTGGCTCCCCGCCTTGCTTGGGGTGAAACGCTTAAAAAAAATACAAACACGTATACACGCAAACTCGCAGGGTACACAAGCGCATATATATTTGTGAATTGTGTAGACGCATGTCTAGGTGAATTGTGTTTGTCTACGCATGCGTAAATAAAAGCTGAAAAGAGACGGAGAAGAGAAACGTCGTTGTTGAAATATAACTCAATTTCTTTCTATAAATTAATTTCAAGTTTCTCCAAAGTCCATAAAAATCTAGAATTAAGCTCTGGGCAAAAATCGTTGGTGCTATTTTTAAAGTAATTCGTTTTTTGTTTTTTTTTCTTTCCATGCACTTTGGATCTTCCTGAAAGACTTATTTGGAAAAATACACAACGATTGTTGTGCCATGTAGACTTCAGTAGAAAGTCTTCCATTTTAACTTTCCAGTAAATATTGTATATTCCAAACTATGTGCAATAAGTAGAGAGAATTCACGTAATTTATACTCTGTGCGCTAATGGATGATTTATCAAAAAGTCACATAGCACAAAGATGAAATCAAAGATGAAATCTAGCATTTTCAGAAGAGATTTAGTTAAACGAACCAGCGATTTGATAATGGGAGATAAAATAATGACATCAAGCTTTATGAAAATGAAACAAATCAATTCACTTTTTTAATGAAATGAACCGGAATATCGTTTTGATGAGGCGAGAAAAAATTCATCGTTTTGATAAGATGAAGCAGTGTATATATTTGATGAGTAGATGAACCAACCAGGTCTTTTGTTAGGATAAAGAACCAATTTATCCCTTTTCAACCCATTCTTTTGATATTTCGAACAATTCAACATTTCTTTGTGTCATAATTCTAAAACACTGTAATCATATTTACCGTATCTGACGGCATATTAGACGCACTTTTTTTTTTCTAAAAATATCTTTTAAAATTCCCCTGCGTCTTATGCCATATGCAGCTTTGAAATTCGCGACCTGGGAACTTCTATTAGCTTAGACTTTAGAGTAGCTTTTATATACCTATTGTCCTTATTTAAAAGGCTATTATCTCTATTTATAAAACGCAGGATGTGTGTGTGTGTTTGTGTAACGAATGCACGGATGCAATTTTCGACGGATTTGCACCAAAATTTACACGCACATGCTCCAGGTTAGTGGGAAGGCTAAGACCGACTTTGCATTTCCCAACTCCCATTGATATTGGAAATAATCGATTTTTTCATGCTTCTACGGCAGTTTTCATGTAGTTTGCGGTCATTTTATACCGACCAGAGTCAGAGCCTATAGCTGGCTGCCACGAATAAGCAGGAAGATTCTATTGGCCAGCGTGAGAGCCAACAGCTGACTGGCACGAATGTTAACTAGCATGCAAAAAAACGATAGCTGCATTCGTCACAAGTGAGAAAAATTTAAATCTGCATGGCACTTTACTCCAATTGGCTCATTCGCTTGCTTAAACTCAACGTTGATTCTGATTCTGCAGAACTGTGTTGGGTGTGAAAAAGTATTTGTTGTTAACATTCTTTTTTCATTCGGTTTTTTCCAGTTACCAGTTCTTTTTTTTTAATCTGATCGTTTTGTGTTCATTTTGTTTAGTTCTTTATTCGTAACAGATTTAATGTTTAGTATAGAGCTTAGAAACAATTCGCAGTGTGAGATAGGCAAGAAGTAAGGCATGTAGCAACATCAGCACGGCAAAGGGCACTCCTTTAAAGGCAAGGAAGTGCAAAAATATTTTAAGTCAAGTAATAGCGATTGCTGTATGAGTCGTACGATTTTTGAATCAAGCCCGGGCAACGCCGGGCCATGATGCTAGTGCAGATTAAAAATGTTATCATTGATAATATTCATTATATGAACTTCAACACGTTTAATATTAGTAGAGTGTTTCACTAAAATTATATGCAAGTGTAGATTTTTATTTTTATTAAACATTTGAACTAAATATTTTTTTAATAAGATGAGGAACTAGTTCAACTTACATTTTTGATAAAGAGACAAATCAGCCAACCCATTTTAACAAAAAGTCAAACGCAGAAGTAATTCTATTTTGTTTGAGTGTATAATTTTTCTCCTAGAATTACATAAATTATAGAATAAAAAAATATTACCAACAATAAATAACTAATGCGTGTTTATGCATCTGTCTGTATTTCTGAGATGAGGTATTGTAATTATTTACACTATTTACATTGTTCGGGCTGCTGTCCTCATCTCTGTTGACATATTCACGGCGTTTCGGACGTTGTATGATCCGGGCTTCTTCAGGATCTGTTTATATTTCTGAGATGAGGTATTGTAATTATTTACACTATTTACATTGTTCGGACTGCTGCCCTCATCTTTGTAGGTATATTCACGACGTTTCGGCCGTTGTACGCTCAGGGCTTCTTCAGGTGATTGGAATTTCGAATTGAGCCCTTTATTTTGTCCACCCGGTTTGATTGTTCTAGTTCATTATCAGTTATCTTCCTTTAACTCAACTCTCCCAGTTTTTGTTTACCTCTGCTGTAGCCAGGTATTGAACTCACGACTTTTTGGGTCCGGTCACTGGATTCAACCAACGGTTTTATCTACTGGGCCACGTCCTTAAGCAACGAAGATGAGGACAAAAGTCCGAACAATGTAAATAGTGTATATATATATATATATATATATATGGGCGGGCTATTGTGTGTGCCTTATTGCCTCTTCACGCCTCGTTGCATTTGGGAGTTTCTGTTTCTCCCTGTATGGGGAGGGGGCAGTCTCGAAGATTTCAAATGTTCTAGACAGGACCTTCTGCCTAACAGTTTTTCTTTCCCTTCATCCTCAGTTCCTCTAGTTTATTCACTGTGCCGCATTTTCATCCTTTTGCCTCTCGCTTCGAAGAAAAGCATCCTTGCATGTGTCGATGACTGTTTGTGCAGTCACTCGATCCTCAATGACTGTAGATATTGTCAGAGGGTTGGTGGCCGATTCCAGGTGACTCTCCTGAAAACCATGCCATCTGGCTTCGTAAAAAAAAAAATGGATGTTTTACGTATCGGTCAGCGACGCGTGATTCGTTTGGCAGTTCGCCAAGACGGAGAACGTCAGAAAAGCAAAAATCTTTTCTATTCATTAAATTAGATTTCAATTTTGAACTGAGAGACTATATAGATGTGCTAAAAAAAAGTAATTTCAAATCAGAGAAAAGCAGACAAGTATTGTATACGAACTGACATTTGCTAAATACTAGTTGCATCGGAGTTAGGCAGTTCGTTGCCAGGCTCATGACAGACATGACATCTGTGTTCAGGCATAGGGTTACAAGACCTCTGTCTCCTGGCAGAGGATGACAAAACCTCTGTCATCGGGAAGAAGGTGACATGACCTCTGTCTTCGGACAGAGGGTGACAAAATCTCTGTTTTCAGACGGAGGGTGACAACACCACTGTATTCGGACAGAGGGAGACATAACCTCTGTCTTCGGACAGAGAGTAAGACCCCTCTCTTCGGAACGCGGGTGACAAAACCCCTGTCTTCGGACAGAGGGTGACAAACCTCTGTTTTCGGGCAGAGGGTGACATAACCCCTGTCTTCGGGCAGAAGGTGACAAGACCTCTGTCTTCGGGCAGAGGGTGACAAAATCTCTGTTTTCAGTCAGAGGGTGACAAGACCTCTGTATTCGGACAGAGGGTGACATGACCTCTGTCTTCGGACAGAGAGTAAGACCCCTGTCTTCGGAACGCGGGTGACAAAACCCCTGTCTTTGGACAGAGAGTGACAAAACCTCTGTTTTCGGACAGAGGGTGACATGACTTCTGTCTACGGGCAGAGTGTGATAAGACCTCTGTCTTCGAGCAGAGTGTGGCAAGAACTCTGTCTTCGGGCAAAAGAGTGACTCATTCGAGGCTCTGACCTGCGAATACAGACTCGGCGGAAAAAAACAGACAAGTTACGGACCCGAGCCCGCTTTTGTAGGGTCTGGGTAAATTTTGACCAATGGCCTGCGCGGAAACGCTAGGATTCACCACAGCAAACGCAATCGTGTGTCACATCTCATTTCAGTCGGGGGCGTGGACTGATAATTACAAGTCGTTGGAGTCAGTCTGCATACTATCCAGGCGTTACGGCAAGTAGACAAAACATTACATATAAAGAATAATTTCACGAATTGCGTTATACGTGTGTTATGTGTGTGTTATGACAATTAAATTACAATAGGAAGTTAAATCCTGACAGGAGTTGGTGAATTCAAATTTTTTTTAGAATGGTTGCCATACAAAGGCTACATAACAGTCTGCCCTACCGTTTACCCATCGATGGGAAGACATAGATTCCAAATGTGAAGCAGTGTGTGAACTCGGCATACCTATTCCGTTTTTAGCGCTGATAGACAGAGGTCATATCTCCCTCTGCCCGAAGACAGAGGTTTTGTCACCCTCTGTCCGATGACAGGGGATTTGTCACCCGCTGTCCGAAGACAGAGGTCTTATCACTCTTTGTCCGAAGACAGAGATCATGTCACCCTCTGCCCGGAGACAGAGGTCATGTCACCCTCTGCCTGAAGACAGATGATTTGTCGCCATCTATTCGATTACAGAGGTCTTGTCACCCTCTGTCCGAAAACAGTAGTCATGTCACCCTTTCCGAAGACAGAGGTCTTATCACTCTTTGTCCGAAGACAGAGGTCATGTCACCCTCTGCCCGGAGATTGAGGTCATGTCACCCTCTGCCTGAAGACAAATGATTTGTCACCATCTGTTCGATGACAGAGGTCTTGTCACCCTCTGTCCGAAAACAGATGTCATGTAACCCTGTCCGAAGACAGAGGTAATATCTCCCTCTGCCCGAGGACAGATGTCTTTTCACCCTCTGTCCGATGACAGGGGATTTTTCACCCGCTATCCGCAGACAGAGGTCTTATCACTCTTTGTCCGGAGACAGAGGTCATGTCACCCTCTGCCTGAAGACAGATGATTTGTCACCATCTGTTCGATGACAGAGGTCTTGTCACCCTCTGTCCGAAAACAGATGTCATGTGACCCTGTCCGAAGACAGAGGTAATATCTCCCTCTGCCCGAGGACAGATGTCTTGTCACCCTCTGTCCGATGACAGGGGATTTGTCACCCGCTGTCCGAAGACAGAGGTCTTATCACTCTTTGTCCGAAGACAGAGGTCATGTCACCCTCTGCCCGGAGACAGAGGTCATGTCACCCTCTGCCTGAAGACACATGATTTGTCGCCATCTGTTCGATGACAGAGGTCTTGTCACCCTCTGTCTGAAAACAGATGTCATGTCACCCTGTCCGAAGACAGAGGTCTTATCACTCTTTGTCCGAAGACAGAGGTCCTGTCACCCTCTGCCGAAGACAGAGGTCTTGTCATATTTCGCCGAAGGCAGAGGTCTTGTCACCCGCTCGCCGAAGGAACTGCCTAAATTACGCCGACAGCACATCCACACTACCGAGGAAGGTGCGCCTCCTGCTTTATAGAGTTAACTCAGTGTATGCGAGTTGATCTCTACTAAGAAAATAGAAATAAAAACAAAATCCTTTATTATTCCTCGCCTGAACCTTGCAAGTGTGCATCTTAACAAATGAAATATATAATTATCGTTTAATTTTGGCAGAACATGGCAGCTCGACTACTAAACATTTCGCCTTGTCGGCTGGGGCTGTAGAATACGCCGACTGCACCTTTTCAGAGGGGTAAGACCCCCCCACCTCGCCAATGGGGCGTCCTAGGTATGACGATAAACTACATTCTCGTCCTGAGTAAGACGATAAACTACGTCCAATAGCAAGGCCTCTGATCAGGAGGTTTTGAGGAGCGTGGAACCACCTCTTAGTTGCTGGTGTTCCCA